CCCCCCCCCCCCCATATTTCTGCTGATGGTCACAATATCCTGTTGCCCCCTAGCAGTCTTCAGGGCTGCCTTCTTCATCAAGCCGGCCACAGTCTGTGGAGCTTTTCGGAGGCTCTGGATTTCGGTCCGTTGCAGTATCCTACCCAGAGGCTCCATATATAGTACCATTATGGAATTAGGTCCCCAACACCTTAATAAGGATCCTAATTCCATAATGGTACTATATATGGAACCTCTGGGCTATAGGTTTACGCATAGGCCCCATAGTAGTTCCTTTTGGGGATTACCCTATAAAAGGACCTACTATGGGGCGTATGGGTAAGTTCATCTCGGACCTCGGATTCTGTAGCGCAAGTGCGAGCCAAGCTGGACGCCATCGGAAAGCCAGCAGTAAGTTAAGTCCTCAACCAATCCGGAAACCCGCGCAGACCTCATATTCGGTCGGTGTAAACGCACTAAACTGAATGCCCTGTGAAAACCCTAAACCCTAAACCCCCTAAGCCCTAAACCCCAAACCCCCTGGCCCCTAACCCTAAATCCTAAACTCAATGCCCTATGAAACCACTCAGGGCTAGACCCATGCAGGCCCTGGAAGCAAAAAAGGAACCACCCTGAGCCAGCGACCCACAAAGAGACGCAGGGAGTCCTCCACGACTGTTTCGCGGGGCACCTCCGTACTATAGAGGCCTTAATAATTAGAATAAGGCTGTAGGGTATTATTATGGTAATTAATTGTAGTATAATATTAATTATTATACTACAACTACTTACAATAAAGAACCCCCAAAATATTATACTTAGGTAAATATTAAGGCCCCTTTATTAGGAGCATTAGACCCGGGAGGTCCAGAGTGGAATGGTTGCCTGAAAACCGAAGAACTTAAAGCTTGTTCGGCTTGAGGGAAACTTGGAGACTCCAATATCCTTTAATTACGGAATATACCTTAAATTGTAGTAGGATTCCTAATATGATTTAAAGTATATTTCTTAATTAAGGGATATAGGAGTCTCTGGGAAACTCAAGCCCTAACTTAACCCCTCTAACCTTACACTCAAAACCGACTCAAACCCTCCCTAAACCCTAAAACCTAAAACCCTAAACCCTAAACCCAAAGCCTGAGCAAGAGATGCCGGATATGCGTTGCGAGATTCTGAAGTCTCCAGTGGTCAGCAGTCTTGAACCCAACAGTTCTCCACCGTTTAGAGTTTGGGGTTAGGTGTTTGGGTTTAGGGTTTATATGTTTGGGTTCAGGGGCTAGGTGTTTGGGGTTGAGGAGTTTGCGTTTAGGGTTTAGGGTTGTTTGGGTTTAGGGTTTAGGGTTCAGGGTGGCCCAAACTCCAACCAGAACGGAGCAGTGGAAAAGACATGTCTTAACTGCAGTACCGGTGCTTTAAATTTGGTGGGGGGGTACAGCATAGTATACGTACATACACGTATTGAGAGCATACTCTTACTTGTTAATTATTCAGAGCTACCTTATGTAATGTAAGGGCCTGAATAACTACACTAGGGTTTTGGGCTCCTGCACAGTAATTATGATGATAAATAAGGAACCCAAGAAATAATATGAGTAATTATTTAGGCTTCTATATTAGCGGCAAAGCGCTACAACCACTCCAACTTTGCCACGGCTCCTCGAAGTCGATCTCGCCGTTCCCATTCCTCGGATGGTAGGCTTCCAGCCTATGGTCCTTTTGTAGGGTTTAGGGTTTACATTAAGAACCCAAGACCCACTTTTTTGTAGGCTCTTATTATTAACCCTAATATGGGATTTATAGGGTTCTTAAGGTGACCTGTGGTCCTCTTTTAAGGTCTGGACCTTGGCTTTGGGGATCAGAGTCTAGGAATGCAGTCCCATCCATGCAGCTTACGTCGCCCAAAAGGAAGGTGCGTGTGCACGGTACTATATGTAAGCAGGTAGGGTACTTAGATACATCTTCCGATGCAGTCGTATTCACAGGTTTGCTTTACAGATTTCTCATAATGTATGCGTACAGACATATACGAAAGATAAAACATAGTTGCATCATCCTTGAAACCTTGCGCCGATGTCTCCTTCTGACATGCTGACATAAAACGGTCTCGGCCTCCAAGACATCAGGGTGAAGACCCTCGTGATAACCCTCTATATTTACTACTCCCCCTAAACCCTAAGTCCAAAGCCCAAAGCCCCTGACTGTATCCTAAACCCTAAACCCTAAACCCTAAACCCTAAACCCTACCTTTTTCGCAGCCCGAAGCTCTCATCGATCTCCGAGACCATGAGCTTCAATTCCTCCGGGCTGGTCCCTCGCAGGCTTCGGAGATTCGAAGGAAGCGGCGTTGCAAGCCGTCAACAAGTCTTAACTGAGCTTATCCACCACACGCCCTAGATTGAACCTAAAAGCCTGAACCCTGGAATCCTTGAAGACTGAGTCTCTAGATCGGCTTCAGGCTTCCTCTCCACGCATGGCTGTTTTTCTCTTCCGGCGCCCGAGGCCGCGGCTGATTCCCAGAGTATCCATCAGCCTCCCAGGCTCGAGGTTTGGAGCGTTTCCCGGAGCTTCTCTTGCAGTTTCCGAGTGGTCTTGGCTGACACACTGGGTTTAGAGTTTAGGAGCTTAGGGCTTTTTTTTGGGAGTTTAGGAATGAGGGCTTAGGGATTCTAACCTGCTTCATCTCTGCAGCATCTGGGCTCCATGGGTCTCAGCCAAACTGTGAGGCCATGCCGCAGCAAAGCAATCCGATGCCTTGCCAGCTCCTCTGTCCCGATGGAGCCGCCCCGGTCCGTGTCCACTAAGTTAAAGATCTCCTGAAACTCCTGGAGATCCTGGAGGAAGCAGAGTTTTGCAGGGCTTTTAGTAGAAGCCAGAAAAAGGGAACATCATCATCCTCATGCTCTTAAAAGTAAAGTATAGGGAATCCAAGCAGCAATCACACTAAATCCATGATCCAACTTTCTGATTCACTCTTCTTTTCGTTTTTGACACAGGGTGTAGGTTTTAGGAAGCAAGCTCTTAAGCTACCAGACGGTCTGACTGCAACACGTACTGCTGAGACTGATTACGTGGTGATCTTGGCTCTCGAAGGTTGCAGCGTAAGGCCCATAGCATACGGCAAGACTGCAGTAGCAGCAAGATAATCCGAATATGAGCAAAGCATGAAGTTCATACAGTTTCTACCAAAAACAGCCTGAAAACATGCTGAAGACATATGTCAGATATATTAACTGCCACAAGCACAGCGAAAGCAGCATGATAACTGGGGCCATCATACGGTTTTCCTTGGTGCGTACCTCTGCTATGCGACTGCACTGCAATGCTGCACCCGTGGAGCAATGGGAGCCGGGGGAGCATCAAGTCTGCGAGAACCGAACAATCTACCGTATAGTACGTTAGTACGTCGAGCTCTTTCCAGAAGAAGGCTCTCCACAAAACAATCCTAGGAATCAACACAGAGCAAGACACAGTGTAAGCGTTACTGAAGCATGATAAAGACTTCGTTCGGCGTAGAAATATATGCCGAGCCCGGCACCTTAACCATGGAAACCAGTGCCCCACCCCCTTATACATTTCCAGTGGTGTTCGAACCACGGAGTGCTCTAACTTACAATGCGAATGCGCGGGATTGGGGGATCTGAGACCAAGAAGCCAAAAAAACAGCAGGGCCCCGAGTAGGCAGGAGAGCAGGGCTTCCTGTCTTCAATTGTGCACGGCAGCTCAGATCGTGAATTTAGCAGGGCCCCAAGGCATTGAATATTTACACGGCTTCCTCTTGTCAATCGAGACTCTTGAAACTGCAAGAGGACATGTCTGTTTTGAAACAACCCGGTGGCCACATCAGGAGCCGGTCTTCATGTTCTGCACCTACAGGATCAGGGCACCCTCAAAAACCAACACCGACACCTTGAACCCCGAAATGCCTTTAGCGAATGAGCCCCCAAGTGCCATCGAAGCTTCTACGCCCAAATTGAAACCTTCGGAGCAACCATTTTTTTGGCAGGGCGAGAGCCCCGGGTTTCCCTTCTCCAACGGAATGGATTCGTCAGAGTCTGGTGGAAGGTTTAGGACACTGGACAAAGGTTTCAGTTTGAGACCTGGGGATTGGAGGCTTTTAGGGTTAGGCAGTCGAAGGTCCAGACTCCAACAAACCCCTTCGCTCCCTGACGAGAACGGAGCACCTTTTCAAGAGCGTATCTGCCGCAGCTGAGGGCCTGGATTGCGACATAGTAATATTGCGACATATACCACAATGCACAGCTTACTCTGGATGCCTCAAGACATCAACTCGAAATCTTCAATATGCATCGGGTTTGGGGTTTGGGCTGAAGGGAAGAAGGTTCAGGCTGTTGCAGGGGTACTTTGAAAGGAGCTGTTACTGTAAAGCCAAGAAACGAAGAGATCCTCCGCTTCGGCTCGGCTCTTCCGGCCGCAGACTCGCGTCTTTTTGGTACCAAAGGAAATCACATGGGGCTTTCCGAAAATAGGGGACCCTATATAGTACCCTAAATAGTAGGATCCTTACTATAAGGACCCCAAAATAAGGTACCCCTGATTTTCGGAAACTCCCACATAGGTTACCGCCATCGTCTCGTACCTGTTTTCCTCCCACATAAAAAAATCAGGCTTCCCCTCGGCAGCCATGGCTGTGCAAAGCAGCAAAGCGTCCTGGTTACAACTCCGCATCTATGACCCGACTTACGAGAAGTCACCTGCGAAGGAAAGACCTAATCTGAAACCATAGCCTGTAAAGCTAAGCAATAACTACAAACTATCTGTTGCTACAGCCGTCGGCCCCCATGTCGACCCTGGGGTGATAGGTCTCTCAACCACAACGCCCGCTCATGAAGCCAAATGACAACGGTGAACATGTAGAGGCAAGTGCATTCATGGCCACATCAAACTTTTTAATTTCCTGTCTTTGAGCAGCCAGTGAACAGCTAACTAGCATACTTCTAGGCATACTTCTGTGGCAATTGTGATGCTTACACTGCTTGTCTACGCAAAACGCGGATGACCAGGAGAGGAATGTATATCTGTGACCCCACCACACCCCACCTTCTTATACATTCTAAGGTGGGGGTGTATATATGCCGTTCCACTACAGTTGCCTTTCAGCAGGGCTCCGCCTTTCTACAATCTACTTCCATTAAAGACTGACTACGTGCGGTGCTCCTCGTCAGAAAGATTCGGGTGCTTGCGGCCAGGGTCGCCTGGGTGCTCGACGCTCAATTGGGAGTTTCTCAATTCAACTCGCACCTCATCCCGAGGTCCTTAAAGCGAGGTCCTCATTTCTCAAGCCCCAACTTAGCTCTCTCATGCAACGCGTGTCCACATTTGGGCTGAGTCAATGCCCTGTGGCAATCTAAGTCTCAAGTCTCCTCGCAAGACAAGCATCTGTGAGTCAGGACGGGTTTGTTGAACAGCTCACCAAAGTCAGGCCAAGCACGAGAAACTTCATCTTGGACTTGGACCCCCCGAAGTCCAAACTAAATCTTGCTGGGGCACTGTGACAACATCAGTGAGCTTTCGGCATAGTATTCGTGACTTCATAGGTAGCTATCAATGCTTTCTCGCGAAATAACCAATCTGACTAATTTGCAAGTTGCAACGCTCGCAGGCACAAATCATCCTAGAAGAGTGGCTGGACGAGGAGGCCAATCGTCGCACCTCCATGGCGCCAGGTGATGAGCGCTTAAGACAACGGAACGGTGAAGACTGAGCCTGCAAAAATGCAGCGAAGTCTTGTCAGCAAGCTCCAACAACTGACAGTGGTATCTCCTCAGCTGATCGTGTTGCTGCTAGCAGGTTGATCATCGTCACCACGGTATCTACTGCTACTGCGACTGTTACTGCTACTCCTGCTGCTGCTGCTACTGCTACTGCCTGCCACTGCCACTGCCGCTACTGCTACAACTACAACTACACCTACTACTAGTACTGCTTCTAAAACGACGGCGACATCGAGGGCTGCAGTATTGATCTTGGTCACGGTGCTGAGTTGTTGAACTATCAGGCATATCATTTCTCCACATACCACTCCTTGCATCCCTCCTACTTACATTGACGCCGATTTCTTCCCTAAGCCGTAAACTCTCAGCACGAAGCCCTAAACTCCAAACCCTAAACCCTAAACCCCAAAACTCTAAACCCAAAGCCTAAGGCAGTACCAAAACAGGTTTCCACAGCGAGAACCTCGTAAGCTGCTATGTCCCTGCTTGCCATCAGTGTTTCCCTGAACCTTAGATGGGTGGTTCTCTAAATCCGGGTCCCTTTTAGGCGGGTCCTTTTTGATAAGGGGTGCCGTACTGTTTTGGGAACCTAAACCGGGACCCTAGTTTAGAGAACTACCCAAACCCTAAACCCTGGAACCCTAAGCCCCAAACTTAGGGTTTAGGGCTTCGAGGGTTTAGGTTAGGGACCCTAAACCCTCACCAGAAAGCCTGAAACCTTAAACCCTGAACTCACAAACCTTGAACTCCAATTTAGGGTTGAGGGTTTAAGGTTTAGGGTCTAGGAGTCTAGGGCATCAATCAAGGATGGTGCCCAGGACGCAAGGATCGAAAGCTGCTGGGCCGGCATTTCCAATAAGGAGTTTCTCATGCCCTTCTGGGGTGCTGAGATTCAGGGTTAGGGCCCTTGCCCTAAACCCTAAACCCTAAAACCCTAAAACCTAAACCCTAAACCCTAAACCCTAAACCCTAAACAATCTGTTTCTGTGTTTCAGGTTTGAGATCTGAGGGTTGAGTGTAGGCGTGCTTGCAATGCTAGCTTGAGCAACAAACCATGAAATCTTCGCTGGTAATGGTGTGCACAATCTCAAAAGCTCTAAACCCTAAACCCTAAACCCTAAACCCTAAACCCTAAAACCCTAAACCCTAAACCCTAAACCCTAAAACCCTAAGCTTAAACCCGCAAACCCTGAACTCTTAAGGCCCAAACTAACCCCCCGACCTTGAACCTCTTCCCAACCGCCAACTTCAACCTCTTATAGATTTCGGGTGGTTTGGGATTAAGAGCTTTTGTCTCGAGGCTCCCTTTTTGCGGATTTATGGTTTTAGTTCATGGGTTTAGGGTTTAGGGTTATGGTCTTAGTTCATGCCTGTTTTCGAGGGGGTCTTAACAGGGTTGAGGGTGTTTGAGTGGTTGTGGAGGGGAAAACGGAATCCGGGTTGAGGCCTTTTCGGGCCCCGGGGTTTAGTCTTTACGCTTTCGGGTCTTCAGGGCTTCAGGGCTTCAGGGGTTTAGGGCTTTAGGGGTTTAGGGATTTAGGGGTTTAGGGTTTAGGGTTTAGGGTTTAGGGTTGAGTTTGGGGCCCTCCAAGCAGCATCTTGTGGGAATCGGGGGCCTAAATTCCGGGGGGGCGCTCAAGTAGCTGAGCAAAAAACGGATTTTAGGTGTGGGTTTAGGGCTTAGGGTTTAGTAGCTGGGTATGTAAGCTTTATTCTTCTTGCGGCTAAGGAACCCTACAAGAATTAGATTGAAAGGTTGACGTTTGTTGGGTCGGCGAACTCAGCAACTCATATGTAAGCCCCAAATGTAGGTGCCTAACAAATTACCAATACTATTTTTGGGTTCCTGATTATAAATCTTATACATATAGTATAATGGGCCCCCCTAAACCCTAAACCCTAAACCCTAAACCCTAAACCCTAAAACCCCCGAAGCCAGCCTCCGAAGCAGGTGGTCTCGGAGGTTAAAGGTCCAGATCCGAGATCCAGGCAGTGGCGACTTCTCCCCAGGCCTTGGGGTTTAGGGTTTAGGGTTTAGGGCGTTTAGGGTTTAGGATTTAGGGTTTAGGGTTTAGGGTTCTCGGGTTTAGGGTTTAGGG